CCTCATCTTTGTCGCCATACGCTCCGGCCTTCCTCAGGTGGTTGAAATGTCGAACTGAACCCTTTATTTCGCTCACTGGGGGAGACTGTTCTAGTTCCACGTGCCATGTCTAATGGATGTCAGTTATCAGTTATCTCCTGTTAATTCCTCTCTCTAAGTTCTTCACCGCCTTAACCAGGTATTGAACTCACAATCTCTGGGTCCTGTCACTGGATATAATTAACGCCTTTATCCGCTGTGACATGTGTCCCTGAGGACAGTGGATAAAGGAGATAACCGATAACTGACATCCATTAAATATGGCACGTGAAGCTAGAACAGTCTACCCCAGTGAGTGAAATAAAGGGTTCAGTTCGACATTCCAATCGCATGAAGAAGGCCGGAGCGTACAACGGCCGAAACGTTGTAATAAATATTTGTACGTAAGTAAATACAACGAAGCCGATTGGACTTAGAACTCGGCTCTCCAATTTCCAAATCCGAACCGTTAACCATTAAACTATCCACACATTCAAGCTGGCAGCACCTGGTAATCCTAAAGTCACCCATCTAGATATTGAACAGGTTCGACGGTGCTTAACTTCGTTGATCGTGCGTGAAGCACTATTTCAACGGGATATGACCGTAAGCGTCTCATTGTTACTCCTCTTTCCTTCCTTCCCGAAAATAAAATGCAAGACATTTTGACCTTTTTTGTCTCGTACACAAAATGTCGAAAACATCTGGACACGTTATCCAAAAAACAGTTTATCACCATGACAACCAGTAAATATCTAGTAAGCACCCCAGCCTGCGATGGTCACATGTGCCTGTGTGCCCGTGGATCAGTTACCACTGAGCCTTCGTATTAATCAAGACCTTAAGTCACCTCAACACCAGACTCAAACACATACGTGCCCGAGGGTGTGTTTGTATGTGTGTGTGTGTGGGGGGGTTAATCATTAAAGACTTCAGGCGAAGAGACTTGCTTCTCGGAAAGAGAGGTGGGTCGGTGAATTTGTTTTATCGAAAAAAAAAAAAAAAAAACTTCCCTTTGAGTTCAAATAGTGACATTTTATTGGTTTATTCTATCTTTTAGGCGTACAAATGCTACAAAATTTTACTGGCGTAATCAATATTAAAACAATAAAAAATAAACATAAAAAACTATTGAAATGAAAACGAAAACTATTAAATGTTTCTAAATAATACTAAAAGTCTGTGACTGCGTGGGTGTGCTTGTGTGTTGCGTGCGTCCGGCAGATAATGATTAAGTTAATAATCTGATTTACTATCGTCTGCTAAAAAACACTTCCCAGATATTTAAACGTCTGTACTTGTCTGATGTTGGCATCTCCCATTTAGTTTGTACCTTACTTTTTTTTTGTTTGTTTGAAAGCCATACATTCTGTCTTTTTACAGTCGATAGTCCTTTCTTCTCGCTTTCATGGAGACATTTCATTCTGTGCTTGGCATCAACAGAGTGTCATCTGTCTTGTTAAGAATGTCCATACAAATAATAAATCCTGGTAAGGTTTCCGGCTCCATCTTCCTTCTGTTAGTTTTGCTGTAGAAGTTGAATAAATTCGGTAAGAAGATACGCCCTTGTCTTACGCCACTTTCTCTAATATTAAAATCACTCAGCAAAAATAAACCAATTTTCACAATTATTATTTTTTTAATGCACACTGATATGATAGATGTAACAATCTAATGAGAAATGATATTTCATTATAAAAGGATTGAACAAACTTATAAAAGGATTGAACAAACTTATAAAAGGATTGAACAAACTTATAAAAGGATTGAACAAACTTTTGAGCCAACTCAGTTGTTATGTCTTGCTAAGTGCTCATGAGGAATTAAAAGCAATGCAAGAATTTTCAGAGAAGGCATAACTTTTCCGATTGGAAGTTTGACGCAACACAATCTTCCTACTCTATCATTTCCCCTGTGTCAAATTAAGCTGAACGTTTTAGAAATAACCCTCTTCTTAGCTTATATAGATAAGCTCAGAATGGTGGATGCAGTAGTTGTGTAAAGGTAAACAAGTAGAATAGCGAATGATGTTTTTAAGGAAAAACTGATACCACTCGCCAGATTGACTGACGCTTCACAATCTTCCTTGCAAATAATTTTTGTTCTTTATTGTGTTTTCATAACAAATATATCTGGCAAGGGGCACTAGAAGCCTGACATTTGAAGGTCAGATCAAATTTAATTTTTATCTAATTTTATTTTAAACTAGACTGACCGTAATCCTGTGGGTCACTGACGGTACAGGTTGTAAAACATTTGAAGGAAGTTGAAATAAAAAGACTTAATGTATAAACAACTCGTATTTTAAAATCTCACTCACTTAAAATATTTTTTAAATTTGATTAACTTAAAAATATTTTTTAAATATTTAAAATATTGTTTGTTTAAAGAAAACTGAAATATAAATAATTACAAACATCTTGGCGAAACAGCAAAGTGGGATCTCTTTGTATCTGTCTTTAACTTTAAAATATTTTAATTAAAAAATTGTCTGTTTGAAGAAAGTTAAAATAAAAATAGTTACTGTATAAACAAGTATTTTTAAATTTTATACACTTAAAATATTTTAAAGATCAGATTAAATAAAATTATTTTTAATATGCCAAAACATATTCGTAAATCATATTCACTCGAAAAATCAGATTGCGACATCGAAAATTCGAAAGAACATGGCAATAGGAAAAGATGCCTTCTAAAAGCTAAGCAAAATACGAGAAACAGGAAAAAATCTCTCTAGAATACAGGACAATTTCTTCACAGGTGAACAGAAGACTGGAAGCAAGTGAAATCTGGTTCTGCAAGAAGCATGCCTGATAGTACCATAGACGGTGCTTTCAAAAACAATGGACAAAAAAAGGATACTTATATTTAGGAAAAAAGACACTGAAAATTTCTCGGACACAGGAAAGATGTCTTGGAAAATTTCAAATTCACAAGACAAAGGGGTAGAGGACAATAAAAGGCAGCGGGTAACCACTTCAGTTATGTGCCCTATGTGATACACGCTTAGGCGATCATGTATCTTTCGATACGTGACTAACGAGGCAGGTTTTTTCCCCGCAGTAGGTTGCCATTTCTTTCTGCGGTAGACCAGTTGCCATTCAAGACTTATAGAAGCCGGTCTGTCCTGCTACTTACCCATACCTGGGT